ATATACTTTTTGATATATATATATATATATATATATATATATATATATATATATATATATATATATATATATATATATATATATATATATATATATATATATATATATATATATATATATATATATATATATATATATATATATATATATATATATATATATATATATATATATATATATATATATATATATATATATATATATATATATATATATATATATATATATATATATATATCAAAAAGTATATCTCCTTTAAATCATAAAAATAAGGTGTATATATGCCCCTTTATAGAAGAATGACTCGTGTAGTCCACCTCACAAACTGATTACAAGCACGAGATGGAAAAAAAAAGGTGACAGATCAAAACAATAATGCCAACCATTTTATTTTTTTAATTTATTATAAAAAGAAATGACTTTGATCTGTTTTCTTTTTCTTCACGCTTAATCTATTATGTCAAAAAAAAATATTTATCCATCTTATAATATATAAAACTATATGCTGCTTATAAATTTTGTAATTATTGTTCCTTGTTTCAGAATGTTTTGTCATGATTTATGTATGTAGTAGTTTCACTTTGTTATGGCTTTTTTACTTTTGCAAATTTCCTTTTTCTACTTGATTTTGAAATGTTTTTCCTTGAGTTAAGGTCTATCATAAATAATTTTTTAATCACTCAAGATTAGAGTAAGATCGGTGTATACTTTACCACATCTTCATGCTTCACTTATAAAATTGCATTGAATATATCATTATTGTTATTTTTGTGCCACTTACCAAGAAATGGTAAAATGAAACATATGCGAGGCAATAGCCTATAAAGTTGGACTGTGACCATCTCATTTAAAATTTATATAATCTATTAGAAAGAGCATATTTTATTTACGTAATTATGTCTTCAATACGCCTTCCTGAGATTCCAACTCAGGAGTTCTCCTTGCTTGGATACCATATTATTGAAATTGTATTAACATCTCATCTAAAAACTTAACCGATCAGAAAGAAAGGGAAAAAATGATATTTACATAGTTGAGAGTATATAGAACAAACAAGAAAAAAGTTGTTATGATCCAAACATTAGAAACACTTATCAAAGAGTAAAGTGAATAACAAGGAAACTAGATCTATCTTCTATCTAGTTCCAAACAAATTAATGATCAAAGCATGTCCAATGATAAAAAAACAATATAACAACATCCAAAAAAAAAACAATTACAAAGTGAGATTTTTGCACAATATTTTCTTTCAATTCCTTATTCACCATGTTCCTCCTCCACCTAACATTCCATCATTCCAATATCCAACACTTGATGAATTCTCTTGCCCTTTACTCTCACTATTATTATGATTATTCAAACATCCAAATGGGAACATCATTTTTGCACCATTTTCTTGAACTTCACTTGATGTGTACAACGCGTTTAAATCTGGTGTTGCTGGTGATGATGAAGATATAAATGCACTTAAACCTCTTGAAGCAATCCCCGTTCGAAGAAGATCAAGAGCTGAAACTGGAGTAGTATTTGAAGTTGAAGTTGAAAAATGATCGATTCCATTATTGCCCTTGTCCATTTTAGGAAATTCAAGAAATTGAGGCATGCCACGAAAGTAATTATTATGATCATGTATGTTAATAGATGGAAACCCTAGATTAAGATCTTGGTTACTTCCAAGATTAAGATTGTAATTAGGGTTTTGAAGAGAACTAAGACTTGGATTAGGGTTTAGATCAAGAAGCTTTTGAGAAGATGATGATAATATTGAACATCTACTATTCTTCCTTGAACCACCTCCAACTGGAACATTTCTTAGTGTACCACCTTCTGTCCAATACCTGTTGATGAGATATAACTCAGTGACGAACTCAGAAATTTGAATTTAGGAAAAAAGAAAAATAAACTATAATGTCACACTTAAAAGTAACTTTTGAACCATCTTTACCGCTAAACTAGAATCTTCCCCTCTGTCAAGGGAATTCAATAATAACAAAATGAATTATTTTTATCTTATTTTTACACAGTAAAATTTTTTGACAAAGATTTTCAATTGAACCGGCCCCATTACTACTAGGTAGCAAGTAAGCGCTCCAACTACTACAATTTAGTAGTAACAAAAAAAAAGTATATCTCTAACAATTTAAGTTTTTAAGTGAGACGATCACAGACTTCATGAATCATACCTTCTACAAGTCTTGCAAAAGTATCTTGGTTGAGTAAGACTATAGTTGTTGTAGTAACAAAACTTGGTATTTGTTGAATTGCACCTTGGACAATTTACAACTTGATCTTTTTGTGGCCTGACTTTTTTCTCCATTGTAGAAGATGTTCTTGAACATGTAACATTAGGTGGAGCTATTTGTGTAGCCATATTGGATGTTACAAGTCCAATATCCTGAAAATTACACAATTCACACAAAAAGTGAAACAAAAAGATGGATTATAACTACTTTAATTTCACCTTTGAAATTAAACTAAAGGAAACTAAAAAAGTGGAAAAATAATAATTACTAAGAACAACTTTTTCCCTAAGCTTTATCTCCTAATCATATCATGTGTGTAATAAAGGGGGAACTAAGAAAAAAGTGCACTATTTTGGAATCTTGTACACTTTCCTTATCTTTCTTTTATTGATCCAGCCTCTACCTCATAGAAAATCCTATTTAGGAAGCTAGCGCCATTTTCATGTGTAAATAATATGAACATAGATTGAAAATAAAAATTCAATTTTTGAACATCATTTCAAGAAGATAAAATTATCTAACAAGAAAAAAAGAGTTGTTGAGCAAAGAATTCATATATCCACAAGTAATTTAATGAACATAATTTTGTACCAACCTGTGTCCATTGAGTAGTAGTATCCATAAAAAGTGAGAGAAGAAAAGCAATATAAGATGATGTCTTCTCAAGAACAAAAAAAGATCACCTGCTTTGTCCTTAGTTTAAAGGAAGAAAGAATGTTTTTGAGTTGTTTGTGAGTTGGCTTTTATGGGGTTGGTTTACTTTTTGACTACACCTTGTGAAATCACTATACTTTATTGTTATTTTTGGGTGTGAAATTTCATCAATAATCTTATTTTAAGCCTTGTGAGTGGAATTATGAATGGATGCCCTATGGTGGCTTTCTACTTTTTGACCATATGATGGGGGTCTTCTGATTCTTAAATCTTCTTTTGTCATTTCATTTTTACTTCTCCTTTCTCTTATTTATAATTTAATAATATAATAAATAATATAATATAATATAATATGTATAGTGTATTCTTAAATTATGTGGAAAAACTTCTCTGGAATATTGAAAAATGTTGGCCTACTTTGTAAGATTTTTCTTCCAAATTATTACTCCCTCCGTCCTAATTACTTGTCTATTTTTGAATTGACACACCTATTAAGAGAGACTAAGGGCCTTAAATTTGGATTTCCATTAGATAGTTGTGTATTGGTTCCTTATAAATAAAACAATAATTACATAGTGAATTTACCATTTTACCCCTATTAATTATGAAGTGGATGAATTAAAAATTAAGATTTTCAAGAAGTTCTATCTTTTTCAAAGTAATTAATTGAGGGTATAATAGGTAAAAAAATATTGTCTTTTCTGAATTTGTCAAAATGGACGAGTAATTAGGGACAACTAAAAAAGGAAATCTGGACAAATAATTCGGGACAGAGGAAGTATTAAATTTGAGTTATAATTTTAGGTTACAACTCGATAATCAAATTTGAGTTATAATTATAGGTTGCAACTCGATAAACAAAACACATTGAATATTCACCTCTTTGTATGCTCTCTTCTCTCTATGTGTGAATGTCTTTAATAATATCAGTGAGAAGCTTTATTTGTGTATAGATACTTTTGATAACATTTTTTTGTAGTAGACATGTTAAGGATTTGATTCTCAGTATTTTTTTGTCATAATCACTATCAATTTTTATTTGAGACATGTATCATATATTTGAGTCTTGCATATGTTAGTTACCTTGGTTAATCTGATCTTGGGATTTTCATGTTGGAGGTCTCAAGTTTGAAACCCCTTGCCAACGAAAGCAAGGGGTTTGTCTTCTAGATCGAGCTCATCGCATCAGGCTTGCCTAGTGCGGGTTACCTCTCCTATGTGGTTTGCGAGCTATTGCATAGGAGTGGGGGTTTTACCTGTGCGCACCCAAAGGGTAGTGACTATGGATTTCCCTGTCATTAAAAAAAAATAAAAATTATCAAAACATCACAGTTTTAGCTTAGTTTATAACTCTCTAAATCCTGTATAAATAGATACACATCAGTATAAAAAGAATACAGCATACACATAGACATATGTATTTATGTATTAGATACAAGTATAGAACTTAAAATTCAAATTGTGAAAAACAAAGACAAATACATCGTATTCAACTTTAAACTAAGACGATAATATGTAATTATTGAAAGTATCGTTGCATGTTGTGTCTTGTGAAATTTCTCATTAATTTATGGAAAACAAAGAATATATTAATTTTTGTCCGACTTACCCTTATCTAATAATGATTTGAACATAGTTCTAAAAGGTCTTTTAATACTTTTTAGTATATAAAAAGATAATTTAATCAAATAACCTTTTAATTAATACTATGAAAATCAGTTTTTAATGAGGGTCAACCTTAAAAATCAATTAATATATGAATGAGAGAATATATAAAAGATAAAGTACTACATGTATATAGCACTAATTAACAGTTATGCCTATAATAAAATTTACTGACAAATTTAAAGTGTCGTCAATTTCTTCCGCCTTCTAAGTTTCTTTACTCCTAGTTTGTAGCTTTATAATAAAGTTGTTGATCTTATATCGAGAAAGACATATTAATTAGGTATTTAAAAGGCTATTTTACTTGGCAAACACTAAATCACCTTTTTTTTTTGTATTGTTAATGATATTTGAAACTTTTTGGCAACAACATTTCCTTACTAGTTAGGAAGATTATGTTCAATCCTTAGAAACACTCAATTGTTTGCATGTTCACATCCTTTTGTCACTTTTGGCAACTTGATCCAAATGTTCTATCTTTTGTTTCTCCTTTTTCTTCTTTATGTTAAAAAATATATGTAATCACTTCATTAACAAGTATCACACAATATCAATGTCAATATGGCCTTTTCAATGTTTCCCTTTACTATTGTCTAAAGCATTCTTTACCATCTTATTATGAAAAAAGACATCAAGAGTTTTATGCCAACCATATCAACTTACCACTATTTTGCTTTTGTTTCTACTCACAATTTGCAATATCATTTACCTTTTTTTATGATCATGGTGTCTGGATCAACTTTCGTACATCTCGACTAATTAATTTTACGAAATATTTGTCATCTCCCACCAGCCATAGGTATTAAGCAATGTTATCAAAAGCAAAAAAATACAATATGACGTAAATCTAAATTAATCGAATTCTAATACGGATATCGGATAAAAAACCGGTCGCTACCCCTGCGTTGTAGTAATTGCTTTAAACAGACAAGAAAAATGAAATGGGACCAATCAGTGCGTGATAGAAATGAGTGAATAGGTGATGAAGACACTTCCAAGAACCTTTATTTTTTCCTTTTAATAAATTAAAGAGTGAAATGTAAAAAAAATACTTAAATTATTGTTTCTATTTTAGTTTTATATTTGAACTATTGGGAGTGTGAGTTTTATATATCTAAACAATCACTCATTATTTTAAGAAATACATCTCTCTTTTTTATTACATTCTCGCTCCTACATTCTCTCTTTTATTTTTAAAAAATTATCATATGATCATACTCCACATTAACAAAACATTTCATCTTGAAATAAATTTAAAAGATTATTACTACTACCTTTGTAATGTTCCCTTTCTTCTGTATTTGAATTTAAATGTGGAACGACCATTTTGCTCTTCCCCTTAGCATTTTCATGCTTAGTTTGTGTTTTGGAAATGATTGGTGTGGTCCCAAATGAGATCGGGTGAGTTTTTGGTGATTTGACCCCTCTTGAGTTAAGAATTATTGATAAGATTGACTTTGGTCAACATTTTGAGTTCTGAGCAGCGGATGGAAATTCCGTCAGTTCTAGCGCTTCCGGAAAGTCGAATTTGAGCCAGTTAGATAGTTTGTAAAGTTTTCGAGACCTTGGTCTGAGTTTTGAGCGTTTGGGTGAGAAATTGAGTTTTAAGACTTAAGAGTGCTCCGTGAGGGTAATTCCATCATTTGACCTCTTTTCGAAAAGTCAAAGATTTCATTGAGTCTGGAATGTCGAGTTTAGTGGGGTAACATGTCCAATTTACTTTTATCGAACTTTGAACAAATTCCGAGGGTCCATTTGATGACTTGAAAGTGGGTTGTTTTTTTGGAATCTACTAACCTCGCGATTGTGAAGGGAGTTTCGCTTTCGCGAGGTTCGCGTTTGTGAGACTGATTCGCTTTCGTGAAAGGTCAAGTGGTATTTCACAAAAGCGAAGGCTGATTCGCAAAAGCGAAGGTCAAAAATTTATTTGGGGTTCGCTTTTGTGAACATGGTGTCACTTTTGCAACTCTGAGACCCATTTTTGCCGGCCAATTTCAGGATTCTTCCCATTTTCTCTCGATTTGAGGTGAGGAGAGGCAATTCTTAAAACTTTTTCTTAGTGAAATTCGTGTGGGTAAGTTCCTCTACCAACTCCTTTTCATTTTCTTTAATTTTAAGCAATCAAAACACCTTTTAAATATTGATTTCAATGTGGGTTTTGGGGGGTTTTCCCCTAAGTTGGAAAATGGATATTATTTTTTATTTGGAGCTTGTTTCTTGACCGATTTTAATGGGGTTTTCAACCATGAATCCCTCTTTACTTGTAGAACTTGATTTTCAGCTAAAAATCTAATTCCAGCTTTTCAATTTCTAAAGTGATATTTTGATTAATTTATCTCCGATTTCAAATCATATCAATATGGGTATCATTGGAGTCTTTTTGATGAACTCTTTCCACTCTTGATAGCTAAGGATCGTTTCGGTGATTGTGTGGTTGATGAAGTTTTCCGATAGGATTGTTCGAGTGATGTTTCAATATTGAGGTAGGTTTGGCTATCCCTATATTACATTGAGATGAATAATTAACCTTTCTTAGGAAGTCAACTGCGAAATAAGTAGTAGCATAAGTCTTAGAAGTTGATATATGTTGACCTCCTTGTTTAGTTCATATGATGTCTAATTGGGATGCTTAGCATGTGTGGAGGCTTGTGTGATATTTGTAATTGTTGCGGAAATTTTGTGATATTCGAGTAATTGCCTGAGTGAAGGGTTGTGTGACCTATCTTTATATTTGACATTGAGATGCCTGAGTTAGGGGCTTGAGTCAACTTTTGAACATCTTAAAATGAAAGAAATAATGCTTTCTAAGTGATAAAAGTTGAATTCAAATTATTTCCTCCACTATCCCTATCATTTGAGAATATGTTTCATAGCTTGTTGAGTTTGAGAACTTGATACTATTTGAAAACTCTTGATGAAATGATTATGCCTTGTGTTATATATGTTGTGATGCAGTCATCATCATGCAACATATCATTGTTCATGGAAATACAAGAAAGTGGAGGAATACTATCTTTTTGAAAAAGAAAATTGGACACCTTACTTATATCATTAACCACGAGCTAGGTGGCAAGATGATGAGATATTGAGATTATGAGATCGATGTATGGACTGCAAGTTCCCATGGGTCCTTGTTTGGAAGCTAATTGCTCGGCAAATTGTATATGACATGTTGTGCAACGACCTTCGTATCACCACATTATTTCATCATCTTATTACATCACATTGACCAACTTTATTGTGTTGTGTAATTTGTTTATGTGTCGATTTAAATGATACATGTACTCATGTGCCTATACATTATTCGTGTCGTTCTATATAAATTGGCGACATCGATGTCGGAATAAGACTTTTCTGCCTGTAGGTGGAAGCATTTCATAGTTTATTTCTTAAGTTTGTTTAGTTGCTTATATTTAGTCAGTCTAACTTACTGAGTACGTGTGGATTGTACTCACCCCCTACTTTTGTCAACCTTTTGATGCAGTAGGTAGTCAGGGTGATCCTCGTTGCAATTGATTGGATCCATCAGATTTCTCTCTTTCGGAGTTGTGTGAGATCCTACTTTCCAGATCGCCATAGGTCTCTATTTATCATTTAAAGTCTTAAACTTTCCTTTCAAAGACTTGAGATGTATTTCAGATTCTAGAAATATATTAGATGTCTTATATACTTATGCTAACATCAGGTTTTGAGAATTTCTTTGTTGTTTTCTATTGTTTGTGGCTTGACTTCCCTTTGGGAGTCTCATATGTGTTATTTCTTTTGGCTTACACACCATTTTTGGGGTTCTCGGGGTGTGTACCATCATGACTTTGGCTTTTGGGTCGTGACACCCTCCGTTCCAATTTATGTGACACATTTCGAATTTCAAGATTCAAACAACTATATCTTGATCATAATTTTTATATATACCTTTTAAATAATTTGAATTGTCAATTATTATGACTTATAGTACTTTTCACGTAGTTAAAATTGAAGATTTTATGTGCAAATTCCCGATCAAACATAAACTATTTGAATCTCGAAAAATGAATATGTCACATAAATTGAGACAGAGGGAGCATTAGTTAAAAATTAGACATTAAAGTATCAATATTCCAAATATATATTCATTTATTTTATTTTTAAAAAGCTTAAAACATTTTTCACACTCCACCACCTCCTCGCACTGTATCCCCATCACCCCCCCCCCCCCCCCCC